TAGATATGTATATATGGTCCTGTGGCAACATAATCACTTCGGAAGTATGTTGACCTCTCCAAAATATAAGCCACAGTCCAGCTTAGAACTCAGTATACTTAACCCTACTACAGTCAATGGGTTGACTCCTGCTTAACCTTACACTAGACTAGGATTTGGGTATGGCCCAGATTCTTCTTCATACTCACCTCATCCCTAGATTTACAGTCAAAATTTTTGATAGACACAGATGTTTATATTTCTGAATTAATATTCTTAGAAGTGTTCCATGACATAGCTGGCACATGTGTAATTTGCTACTTTTCAAGGAAAATTCACAGTTTGAAAATAGCTTCCACTCTCCCATTTTAAAACCTCTGAATGTTATCTCTCTGATTATCTGGCTTTAAAAAAAAAAATTCTTCCCCTTTGTTGTTTATCATGGCCTTTCTGCCTTTATTCCCCACTCCAGCCTCTGTTGCAAGCTTCTTGGAACAAAGGAGAGTTTCGGAAAGTTATTGTTTGGATTATATCTCCCAAAACTCACAACCAGCATGTGGCCATGCTGGCTGGAAGATTCTGGGAACTGTAAAAAGGTATTTTCCCCAAGCGAGACACCTCTGGTTGTAGTTAGTTTCCACTATTAAATGCTATGTGCTTTGATAATTCTATAGGAGGGATAAGAATATGTACTCCTCAATGCCCCTAGATTGTAATGCCCATCATTCTGGACTATTGTCTATGCTGGGATAGAGCTGACAAAAATTGCAGACTTATACCATCTAGAAGGCCATACATTTCCCATTCTTCATAAATAGTAAATGTTAATAATGCCATAGTTCAGTGACAGAATATATGATCCCCTTAGCAGCACTAAGTGGATCATAGGAAAGACCTCTGCCTGAGATCCTCCAGACTAGGCAATATTGAGCTAGATAGACAAATAGTCTGACATGTTATATGGCATCCTTTTATTTATGCAATTCTTCACTATGAATGTACAAAAAGGGCCAATTACAACATTGAACTGCTTCAGATCAAAACAAGAGGAAGTCCAAGACATGTGAAGAGGAGAGAAGGCATCAAATGAAGGCATTTTCCCTTGTCACATTTTACATTGCTTTTGGATATCTATGTTCAAGCCAGCATGATGTAGTAATTTAGTTTGCAGTAGGACTCAGGGAGACCAGGGTTTAAATCTCTAAACCAACCTACTGGGTTACACTCTACCTACACCAGGGGAAGGCAATGACAACCCCCTCCTCTGAAAAAATATTGCCAAGAAGACCCCATGATGGAGTCACCTTAGAGTCATCATAAGGCACACGTTAATTGAAGACACACAACAGCATGAAGTGATAATCTGTGAATGGTCATCTTTAATTCTGATACCGTAAATACATTAGGATGTTAATCTCTCAGTTGATCTTAATCAAAAAGGATGTTGAAAAACTGGAACGTGTCCAGAGGAGTGTGACTAAAATGGTGAAGGGTCTGGAAACCATGCCCTATAAGGAATGACTTAGGGCCTTTACAGACTGTCAGAAATAATGCAGCTTGAGACCACTTTAACTGCCCTGGGTCAGTGTGAAGGAATCATGGGAACTGTAGTTTATTGTGGCACCAGAGCTCTCTGACAAAGAAGGCTCAATGTCCCAGAAAAAAATACCGTTCCTGTGATTTCCTAGCACTGAGCCAGGACAGTTAAAGTGGTCTCAAGCTGCATTATTTCTGGCATTCTGTAAATTTCTGGCAGTCTCATAAATTTCTGAATCAGGAACTCTCAAATTATTTACTGGAGAAGTGGTTTTCACTTCAAATTTCAAGTGGCCTTCAGAGTACACATGGGCTGAAATGCCTTTGGACTTTTCTGCTAATAAAATGATTATCTTCCAAACATCTTGAAATGTGTCACTTGTTTTTTCTGTGGATCCCATTGCTGCTGCTTGTCTTTTTCCAAATTAGTACAATAAGAGAATGTATAGCATGTAAGAAGCTGAAGATTGGATAAATTAATGAAGGTTGTTGCTATCAATGGTCACTAGTCACGATGGCTATGCATTGCATGTAGTATCAGAGGCAGAATGCATTTATATATCAGCTACAGGGGAACACAAGTTAAAGGATGCAATTGCACTCAGATCCTCCTGACAGGATTTCCAGATAAGCCCAGTTGTCCACTGTGTGTACATAATGTGGGAGGCTAGATAGGCCTTGGCTGGATCTTACTCGGCTCATATTTTACGCTTACAGGAAGTGTTCCCCCAGTGGGTTCTCAAAACAAGATGGAATAAAATCCAAACAACTACCGTATTTTCCGACGTATAAGACGACCCCCTAACTTTTCCAGCCAAAACATAGATTTTGGGATATACTC